AAGGAAGGAAGGAAGGAAGGAAGGAAGGAAGGAAGGAAGGAAGGAAGAATCCATTAGGAAATCGCTGTTTTCATAGAGCAGCTCTCAACAGCATTTCTCGCTGGCCAGCTGGACCTGCTCATTTACACACAAATCAATTATAAACTATTCTGGCAGCTGGAGCCTATCTGAGACTTCCTTTTCCCAAAGAAACAGAGTAGGAAGGTATGTGACTGCTTTCTGCACGAAGCTGCTGAAGAAGAGTTAAGAATCCAGCCCAAAATGAATATGCATGCGCACACTGTTTTTCTTCCAACTTAATCTCCAGCATGTTTCAGTCCTTTCTGTTATGTTCTTATGGTAACTGATTTGGATGCAGCACTGTGGTATTATGCAGATGAGTGTCTAGTATAACAGACTTTTCATGTGTGCATCCTCAGGCTGTCGAAAAGCAGTATCACACAGAAATAGTATCCCGTTGTGCTTTAAAAAACATATTAAAAGCAGATTAGGTATTTGTTATGTCATATATGCAGTTAATCTTACTTTACAAGAGATAAGTAGATGTTCTTCTAAGTCTCTCAATTTCACTATACTGAAAAAAGATATGTGGATAGTTTCATGAAACTAATAATTTGATCCAAAGAATTTCCACAAAATTTTAGTTTTAGCTCAATAGATGCTTTGATGCAAAAAATATGATCAGTAAAAACCTTTATAATAACATTAGGAAAAAATATTATTTTTAAATATTGCTTTATTGTGTACTGGATACCCAAATTTCAAACAATTCTAAATCAGCCGCAGAACAATAAAAAGTTTTTAAATGTCTGGTTTTCAGCATTTCTCAGGAATAGCATTTAACTCCTCAATTTCTGACATGTATGAGATGACACATTAGTCATTTGGATATATGAAGAAAAAACCCTTTCATTACATGCACAACCCAGCAAAAGGACCCTGATAAACTTAGAGACTCTCAGTGATACTGCATGCAGTAAGGACTTCAGTAAGCGCTGGTGGTGTGCTCCTGTGTCAACACCTTAAAAGTATTTGTACAAGCATATACTTTTACTGCAGGGACCAAAATGCTAATGTGTGGAAGAACAACTACCACTTGAGACAACTGTTACTCACAGTATTGACTGCAGCTTACTGAAATTAGCTCTGCTTCATTCCTTTCATTCCAAACCTTGCAAACAAGTCACATCATACATCTGCTCCTTTTAGGGCAGCATCTGATAAGATTATTTGATTATGCCTTCCTGCATCTTTTCTAGCTGCTTCCCCAGTGCCCAGATCACTTAAGAACTGACAGATGCAGAGCACAGCTTTTGTTCTGGTAAATGGTTATGTGTGGCTCTGGGCCTAGAATGAAAGTGAAAAAAAATCACACTTTTAAATTATTACATTTGGTTACTTTAAGAAAGAAGAAAGAAGAAAAAAGAAGAAAGAAGAAGAAGAAGAAGAAGAGAGGAATGAAAGGATAAAACTGAGAGAACAGAGTGACATAAAACAAAAAGAAATGAGCACAAATGCTGGGCACAGGCACAAAACAGTCCCATGCAGGGACAAGTCGTGCCCTTACTTTGTCAGTCCTTCAATGCAATATCATCAGCACTGCCTGCTTCTGGCAAGCTTGAAGCCAGCTCTGATGAATCACAGAAGAGAGCAATCAATGGAATGTTACACACTAGACATTCACAGGACGGGAAAAAATGGGCTTTACCACATTCCTTTAAAACTTTCTTCCTTCTCACTCCAGGCCACAGGGTGCAGATGATGTTGCTTCTAACCCTGGAATAACTCTACCTCCTGTCCTGCTCACTGTATGTCTGTCTCTTCCCAGTAGGGAACAGGAGACCTAGGCATTATCAGTCACAGGAGAAAACGAACAAAGAAAAAAGACAGGAATGCTGAAATGAACATGGCTTTGCCCCCCAGGTCATAACACAAATTAGGCCCTAGTGAATTATCAAAAAGCCATACACCTGAGGGGGCACTGTTATCTACAGTTCCAGGACCACCCCAAATTCTTGCCACCTTAAGACATAAAACAAAGTTCATGGTGATTTAGCAGTTCTACCCGACCTTCCAAAAGTCAGGAAGATCAACCAGTTCTAGGCTGCAGGCTGTATTTCCAGCACCAGCACTTGCACATGAATGTCAGCGAAGTGCAGAGCAAGGGAAAGTTCGTGATGTGCAAGGAACTGCAGATCATCATCATCTTGTATGTGCATGAGTGGGCACTTTCCTTCTTCAGGAAGACTTCCACTCCCCTGAACGCTGTCAGCTCAGAAAGAGTACCCATCAAAACTTTATGCAGCCCTTTCAACTTGGGTTGTTCAGTAATTACGATTTAATGTTTTCAGATTGCTCCATGGTAAGTTTAGGTTGGATATTAGGAAACACTTCTTTACAGATGGGGTTGTTAAACACTGGAATAGGCTCCCCAGGGAGGTGGTTGAGTCACCATCCCTGGATGTGTTTAAAAACCGTTTGGATGTGATGCTCAGGGACATGATTTAGAGGAGGGTTGTTAGTTAGGATAAGTATGTTTTAGGTCACGGTTGGACTTGGTGATCTTTAAGGTCTTTTCCAACCTGAGTGATTCTATGATTTTATGATTCTGTGACAAATCTCAATGCTTTTACTGTCATCTGTCAGGCAGAGAACTGTTATCACACTCATTTTAGTAATGAAGGAGTAGCACTTCTCCCCTTTGTGTCTCAGGAAAAACAAACAAACAAAACCTTAACTTATCTTCTAGGACAAAAAAATATGTGATATTCCATTCCTCTACTTTCAAAAGATATGTGAAGATTAAAGAAATGTTTCCATAAAAGCGTAGGTTACCTGTATCTCCTGCAAAAGACAGTTGGATTTAACTTCAGCTTTAACCCTTCCGACAAATATAAATGCAATAAAACACCGATCGCAGGTCTCTAAGCACGGGCTTAACCCCCAGCCCGCTACACACCCTCTTGGTAGGCGGTAACCCGCGGAGGAAAAGCAGCAGGGCTCAGGGTCGTGCTGTTCCAGGCAGGAAACGCGCGGTGGCAGTGCGGCCGCTTCATCCTCTCAGGGGTTTTGCTGACAGGCAGGAACGGGTTCGCTTTCTCTCAGCAGGGTTATTCAAGCGAACAGGCCAGCTGTAGAAACAACCCAGCTATTCCTGACTAGCCTGCACTTGCATACGACACCTCCAACCATGGTATCCAAAGCTCTGCATAAATAACAAAGACAAAAAAGTGCCGGGCGAATGACATTTCATTCTCCAGGTGATCCTAGAGATTTACATAGGAATTTTGTTTGTCTTTAAAATTAAGACTGTGTTGTTCGGCGCTTTCAAAGCTAAACAGAACACATCAATATTCATAATTAAACCAGTTTCCTCCAAGTTTTCTGAATTAATCTGTTTTCAGTGTGCCCTCAAAACCAGTTTGCTCTATCAGTCATTTTGCAGGGAGAGAGAGGAAGGAAGAGAAAGAAGTGTGAAAAGACCAACTACCACAGCTCTAACGTAAATGTTCTTTCTGGGGTACTGTTGTATGTGGTACTTTCCCCTGTAGCCACTGCATGCATCATAATTAAATCTCTTTTTCAAAAAACTTAAGACCAAGCATCCCTCACATGTTGCCTCACATTCAATGACAACACCAGCTACAGTGCTCTGATTCTACTAATGGCACTGATAAATTCTTCCGCTCTCAAAAAGCAAAAGTCAGCTTCAAAGAAGTGGTATTGGTGGAGCAGTTGGTTACATGGAATCTCATTATTTTCCTTGAGTAGAAAGTGCCTTAATTCATCTTTATTTCAGTTCTTGCCTAAGCATTTTTTCGAATGGCTAGGAAAGAAAATGTAGTGCCCCCTCAAAAGCAAATAAGCAAAAAACACACCACAAAAACCTTTCCATTTAGCATTTCAGAAGAAACCTGTCTCAGAAATCTCACTGAATATTCAGCAGCATTTGAAGACACACTCTAGGGGATTGTTTTCTAAATCCTGAACCTATTTGAAGTGTATTTTATGTATGAAACCAAATTAGTGTCAACTATAAAAACTGTGTTTGTCCTGAAACTCAGGAAAGGAGAAGAGGGCAAGAAAAAGGAGGAGGAAAGGAAATGTTTCACATTTTTAAACCTGTTTTTTAATCTCCTCAGCAGTTCTCTCTCATCTGTGCCTGCCTGTTCTAAACAACCAACTAGAACACAGTATCTATTATTTACTGGAGATGCCTTTGTGACTGTGTTGTACTAAGAGGGTCTAACAGTTTCTAGCATAGTTTACATTCCTTCTGAGCTGTGATGTGTCCTCCCCATTGTTTTTCCTGCCTTGTCCTTCCCATTCTTCCATTTTTTTATCCTTCCAGTTCTCTGTTACATTTTTAGACTTGCCCATTACAGTTCAGCCACATACCTTCAGCTTCTTCCTCTTCACGAATTCCTGTTTTCCTTTCCCAACAGGTACCCCACAGCTTATCTCCAGCCTCTCTGCTTCTGTATGTTACCTTAACGAGGAATGTGTCACTACAGCTCTCTTAACTAGTGAAACTATTTTTGTATATCCTGCAAAAATCCTGTGATACACTACATGAGAGCAAAGGGGATGACATTAACCAGACCAGTGACAAGCCAGGACAGAGCCCCCTCCTCTTCTTAAAGAAAAATGGGAGAGAGACAAAAAGTAAATCAAAGGCAAAAGGATTTTGCTGCTGCAAGTGGGACTTCTATGCATGGGGTCAGTACTTCCCCCAGCCTGATTTTTCTGGAAGTGAAAAGGGGCAGTTCCTTGCATTATTCTTAAGCAGGGATCATCGCAGTGCCAGTTTCCCTCCAGCCTCTCTGTGCCCTCACCATTGTACAACCATGCTGATTCATTTGGAGTCTCAATGGCTCTCTGAAACAGCAACAAGTGATGTTAAAAGCTATATTCATCTTTCATTTTCTTTTAGGAAAAACTTAAGCTTTTACATTTAGCTTCTTGGTGGTGTTTTGGTTTGGTTTGTTTTCAGTTTGTTTATTTGTTTTTATATCAAACAACTCTGGCCCTTCTATCTTGTTTTCTAACTGCAGTGTGACAGCCTGTGCTTTCCTGTTCACAAGGCTTTGCCTCCTCCTTTTAGATCCACGCAGTCACAGAGCTTGTTAAGCCAGCAGATCCACGTCATGTCCCAAGGTAGAGGAACAACTGAGGCCTCTGTGCTGCTCCTATTCCTCGAGCTCTGTTTCTGCTGCACAAAACCACTCCGGATGGTAAACACAGGCAGGTTTGCCTGTTGGTTCTTCTCCAGCCTTTAATTGCGGAATTCCCTCAGCACCCCTTCACAAAGAAACAGCAGAGTGCTTCCATTCAGCTCCCTGGGAAGTCTCAAGACAGTCTGGTGACCCCGCAGCAGGGAAACCTCCCTACACACACACTAACACTATCCCACCCAAAAGATTTTGCCTCACATCCGGAGACTGTGAAGCAGTTTCGCATCTTACGTGTCCAAATTGGAACAGACGCGTATGCAAAATGCGTGTTGTCTGTAAGCTATGTGTAAACCACATAAGTACTTCAATGCTAGTGTAAGATGTGTGAACGTACACGCGTTTAGAACATGTTCCCGTCTGTCAGCTTCTCCTCGGCTGTACGGCCTCGGGGCCGCTGTCGGCTGCCAAATTCACGGCCGGAGCCGTGGGCGGCTGGCTGACACCGCTCCGCGCTGCCTAAAGCTGGGCCGGGCCGCCACGCCGCGTCCCTCACCCCGGCGAGGGGAGGGGACGAGAGGAGCGGAGACCGTGCAGGAGGCAGGAAACAGGCGGGAGGCGGAGGGACGCGGCCGTGCCCGGCACCTGCGCGGCGGGCGGGGCAGGGCCTGGGGCCGCACTGAGCGCGGGGCGCGTCCCGCTCCGGCCCCTCCCGTCCTTCAGCAGCAGTCCGAGCTCCGGCGGTGGAGCGGCGGCGCAACAGGTTTCCGTGAGGCGCGGCCCCGGCCCCGTGCCGCCACCGCGCGCACCCATGGCCGGCCGCGGCCCCGGCGGCGACCAGGGCTACATCCGCACCGTGCTGGGCCAGCAGATACTGGGCGAGCTGGACAGCTCCAGCCTGGCGCTGCCCTCCGAGGCCGGCCTCAAGCTGTCGGGCGGGGAGGAGAAGGCGCTTCGGATCCACCGGCAGGTCCAGCAGACGCTGGCCAGGAAGAGCCGAGGCTCTCTGCACAACGGTGAGTGCTCGCCTGCGCCGTGCGTGGCTCTGGGCGTCCCGAGTCGCTGGGGCAGCCCCGGTGCGAGCCCCGGCTGCGGGGTTGTAGCAGCGCTGCTCTCTCACAGTGCCCGTCTCCGTAGAGGGAAGTTTCTCCCTCCCAGCTACTGCAACTTGTGAGACGCGGGAGTTGCTCGGGATTTACTGCTGCCGGAGAGATGGAGGGTGCCAGAGTTCTCCTCTGGTTGTGCTTGTTCCAGCAGCCTGGCCTTGTTTGCAGAATGAGCTGGGGAGTAGAGTCGGAAATGGCTTTCCTGGTTTCACCTCTAAGTAAAAGCAAATGTGCAAAAAGGAGGTTTGGCAAAGTACCTTTGAGAAAGGCGTGGATGGCAAACATTGAGCCCCACGGCACTCTGCAGAACCGGGCCCAAAATAAGTGATGAAAACTTTTAATCCTTCTAATCCTGTTTTCACTCAGATATTCCTGAGTTTAGACTGGAAAAGAGGAGACTCAGGAGAGACCTTATTGCTCTCTACAGCTGTCTGAATGGAGGGGAGCCTCTTCTCCCAGTTAACAGCAGCGGGACAAGAGTGCCTCCAAGTAGCACCAGAGGATGTTCAGGTTGGATGTTAGGAAGCATTTCTTCTCAGCAAGAGTGGTGCTGCAGTGGCACAGGCTGCCCAGGGAGGTGGTGGAGTCACCGACCCTGGGGTGTTCAGTAACTGTGTGGATGTGGCACTGAGGGATGTGGTCAGGGGGCATGGTGTGGATGGGTTGGTGGTTGGACTGGATGATCTCAGAGATAATTTCCAACCATAATGATTCTATAATTCTGTGATATGATATGATGGATTTACAGGTTTCCTTACACTTCTGACTTCCATCTGAAAAAGGCCTCACTGCTAAAAGAATCCAATGCAGATGCAGATATACTCTGACAAATGAGGCACACAAAGTTCACATAAACAGGTACCCACAGCTGCGCAGTATGCAGCTATCTATACCTGTAAGTCCCTAGCCTGGCAGCACTCCTCAGTAAGGTTTCTAAACAGTTTTTAGAGTAATTTCATTTCTTTTTTTCTCAATAGAGAGGCACAACGTGGAGAGGGCATTTTAAAGCATTGACTAACAAACGAAATGGTTTTGTGAATCTAACATCGTATATCTAAACAGTGATAAAACTATGAAGACAGAGTTCTCATCTTTCCAGCTCATCTTAACTTCTCTGAATGATTTAGGATAATTTTCTTTGTCTGCTTTGTTTTTATAAAGATCAAGTGTTTGAATACTTTGCATTTCTGAGGCTCCAAAACTAAGCTTCAAGATCAGACATGGCAAATATCGTTTTGTTAGATGGATTGTTTGTGCATGAAATGAACTTCTCTTCTTTCAAACATATTCTGGTGCCCAGCTCACCATGCAAATTTTGTTCCTATGCAAAGCTCAAAAAAAAAAAAAAAATGGAATCAGAATACATTTCATGTACTATATAAAAATACTTAGAATGCATATCAAATGCCTATAATACATTTAAAATGTCTTACCTGAAAAATATGTGTGTGTATGTCCCGTTGTGATTTTTTCATAGAAGACTTGCACAACATTTTACTATGCTTTGAAAGACATTTTTGAATGGAAACTACTTCTGAAAATATGCGCTATTTAACATGCAAAAAAGTACCCGCTTCACTGAACAGTACAGTTTTCAAGATGTATTAAGTATCTCATATTGTTTGGAGTTTCAAGGAAGAGAATAGTTTTTAAAGCATCAGATGAAGTTCCCTGTGATATAACTGTCCTATCTGTATTTCAGACTCTGTTCAGCAAGGTACTTACCACATACCTAACCAGAGCATTCACATGCATGCCTAAAATTAGCCAGGGACAGAACAAAGGGGTATGAAAAATGAGTGGCAGTAAAGGTCTTAGCAAGTGTCATCCATGCGTGCTGATTTTCCACTTACTATACTAGAATCTTTGAAGCCTCAAGAAGTACACTGTCAGGCAACATAATTTCTCCTTGAAGTTTCAGATTAAAGATTTGGCCTCCAACATTATCTTCAAGTGGAAAAACATATTTTTGCCTTCTACCTCCATCTTGCTTGCTGCTTTATGCCCTTACCTGCATACCCTATTAAGGATATCTTTACAGTTTTTTTATTTTATAATAGAAATTCAGATCATCACCAGATCTGTGAATTCCTCCTGCTGCAAAATTGTTGAAACTATGAACCGTCTCAACTCTTTTTAAAACATTCTCAAACATTGCTAGTGGCTTTCCAAGCAGTAGTTTAACAACAGCTGTAATTTTCCAGTTTGCTGCACCTTTGCAAATTAAAGATTATGTTGCACTGAAAAGCAGCCATGTGAAATTTCCTAATGTTTAAAAATGGAAATGTTACGGTAGAGAGTTCAGCCTTATTAAAAAAAAAAAGGCCCTTTATGTTAATGACTGGTGTTTGTTATTGTATTGACTATACCTTGTGCATTTCTGTTTATGATTCTACTTTCCTGTAATCTTGTTCAATTTGGACTTTGATTGGCTTTTTAAATTCATCAGTGGTATTTCTGTTTCTCTAGTGTAGTCTCTGGACCAAAGTCCTCCATCCTTTACATCCTTGCCAGTTTTGCTGTAACAGAGGACCACAGAATTTAGTAGTATGCCACACAAGATCAGATGGCTCGGTGATCTATGTAAAGATGCATCCTCTAACACATGGTTTTATAACTATGGAATGTTTATTTGAAAAGAGGGTTTAAACTTATATGATTTCTAAACCAACAGTGTTAGATAATTACAATCAGAACCCTATTTTTTCCTTACATTTCTTCACTTCTAAAATTCTTGATAGTAATTTTCTTTACCTTGCTTTAGGGATTTGTAGTTTTCTGACCATGCTTCATAGTGATTTTCTTTTTGTATCTTCGTGGAAAAGGGAAATAGAGAAAAATTGCCCTGTTGGTGACTTACACTTCTTATTGCCTTGCTTATTCCTCACTGCTAATTTTTGAGCCAGAAGGAAAAAAGTAAGTCTTACATTTGAGCATTTATGTGAATGTAATGACCAGTGAAGAGTAAAAAATGTTGGAATGTCACTTGGGACCAGGCATGCCCTGGCACTATGATGAAAAGGAATAGTCAAAAAGGTTCTTTCTTCTCTGCGTGACGTGGTTCAGAGAAGTTTTTGATGTGCTTTTCCTAAATGCCACTAGCTCAGTCCATTGTGAGTGGTGAAGTAAAAAAAGGATTAAAAGATGACAAACCAGGAACGCTACAAGTATCTGTCAAGGATATAATCTCCCTCCCACCCGAGAATTGATGGGCAAGAGATATTCAGCAGGTGGGCACTTAGTCTGTGTGAAAATACCACAGTCCTCAATAGACTTGTTTGCACAGGATATGGATTCGTTATGTCCGGCAGTAGAGGGTTTAAAGCCAAAATCTGGCTTTCACAGTAATCATTCAAGTACAAAGTGCTGAAAAAGACTCGCAACTGAGAGGTAACAATGCATATGATTCAAAAGGAATCCTACACCTAATTCCTTAACAGGTAATCATCTTTTTTGAACGTCATGTGTCTTCGAGATGTATCTTGTTGTTCTTTTCCAAGGGCAGGCACATAGGAGATTGATTTGTCTGCAGCGATAGCCAGCAATTAATGGGGAGGAACTTTCCAGGCCTTTAGAAATGTTGAACCAAACCACATAAGGGGGCTTCAAAAGAGCCACCATGAAGATGAATAGGACTGTTTTCTCAGTTAACTATTCAGTCTTCTTCCTGATAGTGTAATTATTTTGCCAGATCTCAAAATTTTATCATAGCTGTTGTGAAATTAGATGATTTCTGTACAGTTTTCATTTTGTGTGTGGAGGAGAGTGAAGAGCTTGAGTGTTCCTCCTCCACTGGCCACATCCATCGCGCCAGTGTTCTTGAGCTTCTTTAGTTCAGTCTGAACGAAGAAAGGGAGGCCATCACAAAAGGTTCCATTCAATTACCTACACATGACTGCTCTTTGAGATGCCTTTGAGATGCCTGTCTAATAAATTCACATTGGCTGACAGATGGGACATAGGGCCTGTAGGAAAGCCATCCGTTCCTTGACTGCTGGAAATCACATGCAGTCAAGCATCCTGATTTCATATTTTCTGGAGAGTTTCTATGAGGCTTAAAGCACTGATTCTCATAGTTAGAACATGTAAATTCCACAAATCCATAATATTTAAAAGAAAAAGAAGCATCCTTTGTGTCTTTTTCTTAACTGGTTCACTGAGTATAGAAGGACTCCCTGATGACTTTTGAATATGAGCAAATCTGAGAGGTGCAAAAAACATAAAATTTTGTGAAGTGGTGAAACCTTAGCTGGAGGAACTCTCTCTGACAGAAGCAAGTTTTGACTAGATGACCTATCCTGCATCTCATAACTAATGGAAAGGCACAGCATTTTAGTTTCCACTTTTTCTTTTAGCACACTTAG